GCTTCCAGGCGGCTTTAGAGCCGCCTGTGTGAAAACGTCCATTGACATCTTCAATTTTTTTCAGTCCTGTACAGTTCAATGCAAATACATTGCAGAATTAAGAGAAAATTCTGCTATGGTATGAATGCTGAATCTCAGAAGGGGTTCACAATAACAAAGATAAATTAAACATTTACTCTCCTAAATTGTATTTCTTTTTATGTGTTTTATTTACAAGTATTCATAAACCATTTACATCTAAATATTTCAAAATTGTGTACACTAATCTGGAATGTTCAATATAAAACAATGTATCACATCCATATGAAGCACCCACATTATATACACACAACAATAAAACAAAACAAAAAGTAAGATAAACTACAGGAGGGAAGTTTCATGAAGCCAAACATCTCAAAAGTGCTTCTCTGACTAAGAAACAGCTTGATCCCATGTCAGTAAATCTGCTTCCCCAAATTCACCTTTCCAGTACCAGTCTTCCTTCTCAGATGTACCTTTAGGAAGGGCAGTGGTGAAGACCCCACATGGCTGTATATATCCTAGGATTAACACTTGCCTTTCCACTAATACTGAGGAATGTGACTAAAGTATTTCCAATGCTTCCTGCCTTCTTTTTTAATTTTTTTATTAAATATTATTTTAAAAAGTACAAAGACATAAAAACAAACAAACCTAACTTTCCATACATACCTCCATTCAAAATTGCATATCTATTTAGACATACACTCCTATATAATTTCCCACACTCATTCCCATTCATTATTAATTTCCCAAGCTAGAAGAACTTTATATTTAATTTCTTTTTCTTCCCAGCTGTTTCTTATCTCATCAACTATAATCCCTAATTTAATTCTACTAGATTTGAGGACTATCACAATGAATCTAAATTGTATATAAAATTAAAAATTAAAATTATACAATTATTCAATAATCCTAAGTGTCTAATTCTATCCTTATATTCCGTTGATCACTCATATATTTTATTGTCCATTCCCAACCTTTTACATATTTCATCTGATTTTCATTTCTTATAATACAAGAAATTTATCGATTTCTGCCATGTCTATTAACTATACCAGGGGCCGGCAACCTACGGCCCCTGGGCTGGTTCCGGCCCAGGTCGCCGGACTTACCGGCCCAGGCCAATTCCTGCCGCCACTGCCACATGACGTCACCACAGCGCGTTTTCTCCTCTGTGTGGCCGCGACGTGTTTGTGCATGCAGAGTACTCCTGTGCATGCGCAAACATGTCACGGCCGCCATTTTGATTTTCAAAATGGCAGCTGCGGCACGCACGGAGGTGGCGGACGCTGTGTGTACCGCAGCAGCGGTGGCAGTGGTGGTGGTGGTGGCAGTGTGTGCGGGGGTGGTCACACGCTGCGGCAGGGTGTGCGCGCGCACACGCGCGCCACCATTCCCCCCCTCGGACTAGCGGATGGGAGGACTTCGGGGGACCAGCCCACACATCAAAAAGGTTGCCTACCCCTGAACTATACTAACCATTCCTCCAATTTTGAAATTTCATAATTTTTCCTTTTTTGAGTGAAGAGCAGCCTAGCGGCTGCTATCATATAAAAGATGACCCTTGCATTTTCAATTCCTATTTGGTCATCAGTCATACTTAATAGATATTTTTCAGGTTTCATTTGAAATTTAATGCCTAATATTTTTTCAATTGGTCAGTGTATGTTTTTCCAAAATCTCTTAATATTTATAAATGTTCACCACTGAAGGTAAAAGGTTCCTATTTCTTTTTTACACTTCCAAAAGGTATGATTTATCTGTTTGTACATTTTAGATAACCTTTGAGGAGTAAGATACTATTTGTAATGCATTTTGTATATGTTTCCTTTAATGTTCTGTGCAACTGAAATTCTCATTGTCTTCTTCCATACTTTCTTCCATCTCTCTAGGTCAATTGTATGCCCCACATTTTGTGCCCATTTGATCATTTATATCTTTATCACCTCATCTTGTGTATCTCATTTTAACAATATTTTATAAATATTACATAAGATTTTTTGATTTTCCCCAATATAATTTTTTCTAAATCTGTTTTGTCTTCCTTTACCCCACGATTTTTATTTCTATTTTAACATTTTCTCTCATTTGTCTATGCAATAACCAATAGCATGGGATGCCACTATTGTTTAATTCCTCTTGCATTTTTATTTTGTGTTTCTTACCT